GCGTTGTTTTTTTTCGATTACCTCCTGCATTCTGCACAATTTGTAATTTGTGAGGTGACCATTTTTTGCTGATTACTACCAAAGTTAATCCTGCAAATAAACTTAATTAACTGTTTAATTTACTGACCGAAAAGTTGATTTATTCCATTCTGAAAATTATAACCGAGCCAAACATGTTTTAAAATAGATCCAAACAATTTAATTACGTTTACGTATATAGGCGTCACCATATAATCAATGACCTGATACCCGTTTTTGGGCTGGTTTTCCGAAGCACGGTAGGGTGATTTCCTTGCTCAAGGGAACTGGCAATTAATAAGAGACTATTTACAAGTTGCGTTTAACTGGTAGCACTCTAACGTGCAAAACAAACTAACCAGTTGCACCACTGCCCCCGCCCCCTGCAAAATGATACAGAGTAGTACGCAGGAAAATAAACTGTTTATTCATCACGAAGCTTTCGGAAACCTGTACAGTTTATCAATGACAGAAGAGCAAACTATTTTAAAATTCGAAAGCTTCATGCTCAATTTCTAATTTAATTTCTAGTCTAATTTCTAACACATTATCATATATCTGCTTATCGATTCATCAGGAAGCCAAAATGTACTGACTGTATACCTTTCAGAAACGGGCAAGAAAATAGTTTTCATTAACAGATGCTTTCGTAGAGTTCAATTTCACATTCAGCATTTGAAGGTGGAACTGACGTCCAACAAGATCTTACGGTGCCGCGACCAATTATTGTGGACAGGATTATTCAAAGTCGCTGGGTTCATCGTTAAAAACCGTAACGAATTACAGAATCAGTTTGAACTGAAAATTTGAAAATTCGTTTATGTCTTCATTTATTAGATTTTCATAAGTCGCTATTCCTTTCAGATGCGCTTGCAACCGTCTAATGAAGGTTCTTCAACGACATAGGCCATCCATCAATCGAACAAACTCTTCTGGTTAAACTTCCGATCCGCACTGATGCCACACTTGATCTGACCTGCTGCCATCTGATCTTGAATATAGAGAATTCGCTTTGCCTGACACTCTTCTGATATTCAACCTCTAAGCCAAAACTCATTATTGGAAGAATACCCTGAACGACTTAGAAGAAGGCAATATTATGGGGGGGCGCTAGTTATATTTATCGTCGGCGATGATTACGTTGCAATCACTTTATCAAAGATGAAGTGTTGACGAAATGTCATAAAAGACAACGACAGAAGTCCAAACCTATGTTAAAGCTGTCTGACAGCTTCGAATGGAATCCATCAAAGCAATCATACAGAAACGGTTC